ATCAATAAATCAATAATATAAGCAATTAATAAAATAACTAATTCATATATTATTGATTAATAACTATTAATAAAATAATAATTGCCCTATAAAATTATTTTCGATGGCAGAAATATTTTCAGTCTGCACCTGATATCCACATGCAAGTTTCACATCAAATATGTTGGCTGTAAACATCGTGTGATGTTCACTGTGTCGGTGCGAGCGTCTCATCTGGAATGATCGTGGGCTCACAACATTCTTCTGATCCTCTCGGCTCATTTCTTTTGTCTCATGTCGGGCGTCTCAGATGTCTCATTAGGCTTGGTCAGAGACGGCCTGGGTAGGCTGTTCTCTTAGGCCTACATTTTCAGTTCAGTTTATGCTCGACGATTTTCATTCAAATTCATATGAACGATCGACTGCTGGCTCCTGCAACGTGACGTGAGAAAGTGAATTATATCTATTAGAAATTAGGATACGAGTTATTCCAATTGGCTTTTGTATGCAAGAAATGATTATTCTTTGAATGTAAGGAAACAATAGACCTCAAAGTCGGCTTTGCCTTCCAAAGATCGAAGAATAATAGCAACTGACGTTCGACAAGCAAATGCACCATTTTTCCCATTGAGTAAAATCAATGAATAAATGTTGGCAGTGAGGTCACAATGGAGGTATTAGCGGGAGCTAATATTCAACAGAAGGCTCCGGTCATGACGGTCCCCATTAAAAAATTTCTATGTCCAGCAGGGGGTATAACTTCTCAATTCGCAGTCACGGACCCAATGAAAATTTACAGACGCGTCAGCTTCTGATTTGGAGAACCAGAAGCTGGGGCGACTCTAAATTTTGTTAGGGGAGAAAATAAGAACAATGCATCTATGTAAAGTGTTTATAGGGGCTGAAATATATTAGCTTGTGAAGTTCGAGCGTCAGGCATTAGCATATGTAGAGACGCTCGAATAATCACCAATTTGAGTAAGATGTAGAATGAATCAAGATTATTGAATAGAAATAATGTTCAATCGTAATGAAACGTACGTGGTTAGGGGAAACAGTGCAACGCGAATGTCTTCAAAACTTTATGAGATTTTATTTAGACTTTAAACTAATTTTTTATTTCATTGAAAATTAACAAATTTCCTTTTTCACGAGCATTTTTTGTATTGGATGTAGTTTAGATATGCAAGTAAAGGAAGTTTCCTCCCTTTTCTCCTTCAGGTTTTGATTTTAGTGGACCAGAAGCGGAATTGGACAATGAAGTCAACAAGGGAAGTTTCAGCCTGTAATCTAAAGATGAAATTCTTTGAAGTAATTAGCTTTGCAAGCGAGCTCTAAATGAGATAAAATTTGCGGTTTCATGTTCAGACTGAGGAAGTCAACCTGAGTTTAACTTATGGTGCAACTCGTTACTTATTTATGACTGTAGAATGTGTCCTGTTGAACAAGTTTCATTGATTTGATTTGATTTGTTGATGCGTTAAAACGGTTAAATTAATTATTACTTGTTATTTTGTCGATGTTCATTTGGAAATTGTGTTGTGTTCCAATCGTTGAAAAAGTGAGGTGCATCGACTTGAAACAAAGCATCTGGGGTCTTGCATTGCCGGTCTTCTCTTGAATACAAAGTTAGAAAGAATGGCGGGCCAATAACTCTTTGTATTTTTAATTGGAAAATGAAGTCCCGCTGCGGTTTTGTAGAAAGCAAACAAAAGACATTTTCGAGAATAATAATTTTCAGTTGACATGAAATGATTTTGATTTTTCATTTTTTTAATGGTAAGAGGGGGAGATAGGGGAAAATTATAATTTTGAAATTATCTGCAGCCAAAAATATTGTTGTTCTGGCTGCGATGTTTTCTGAACTGTCCAATTCTTGTCTAGTAAGCGACTAAATTGGCTCAACTTTGATTGTTCTACGCTATTTAGATGCGATACGAGAACTTATATATATTAAAATAACGAGGTGATAATTTCAAGTGGACTTCGCTGTCTTATTATCATTTCCATCATTAACAGCATCATTAATTGTGAACTGTTCTTGTAGCCAATTGATGCTTACGACAGGTTTCGTCCATTTAATTGGTACTGACATATCTATTACAACGAATCTTCGATCTTTAGACACGTACAAAGCTCGCGTAATTTTCATTGCGGAAAAATGAACGACTTCGCATACAAGAATAAAAAATGAAAGAGATGATTTCGTTTCATATGTAATTTTTATCACATTTTTCCATTAAATAGTTGGAAGATAACGGCTAGTGACATGATAGGAGGGAGGCGTTACAATAAAGATAACGGCTAGTGACATGATAGGAGGAACGCCGTTATATAAAACACAATTATAAGCATAAATCAATATTTCAATAACCTTACGACAGTCCCTAGGCAATGAAAAGAAACTAATCCAAATTATATTTATGGCGAAACAGAAAATTGACTAAAACAGAAAATCAACAACAGACAAGAAACTTCAGTTCCTATCCAATAAAAAAAATGGATACATGACTTTGTGCAGCAGATTTGTTTGAAATAAACCCAAGTATTGAGGCAAATGTGGTTGATTTCAAGAGATTTTCTTCTAATTTAATCTTTTGAATTTAAATCCAACTCGAAAAATGAGGCAAATAACGACAAAATTAAAAATATGAAATTATTAATATTGAATTAATAACCTCAGGGCAAATCTAATATTTTCAAAAACATCTTCTGCATAAACGTGAGCGCTAAATCTTAGTGTTACCAGAAAACATTGTTTGATCAGCGATAAATTATCGGTATAGTATTCGTTAGGACAACTAAATCCTAACAAACATGATTGACTAGAACAGCAAACATCAACAAAGGAGAAGATTACGTACATAACGTACAGCTACACGCGTTACATGTAGCTGTACATGACACAAAGCTACACGTGTTACATGTAGCTGTACATAACACAAAGCTACACGTGTTACATGTAGCTGTACATAACACAAAGCTACATGTGTTACATGTAGCTATACATAACACAAAGCTACATGTCCAATCAGCCATAGGCCTATTTAATATGATAATTCGCAACACATATTGTCGCGGACGACGTCTGGCAGAGGGATATTCAGGTTGCGAACACGTTTAGGATTTGCATTCAACGAGTTCTAGTCTGCATTCATTTGAAATATATGAATGAATAAGGTCGGAAAAGTAACATTAAAAAATCCTTCAAATTGGTTTGTGTTCTCGCAGATTTAAACTAAAATTGTTCCGCAGAATATGATGACTAAAATTTGTACCTTGAACGTAAATGTGTCAATGATTCCAAAAAAAGTTCCATTACAATTTTTACATTAAAAATCGACCATTTCAACAAGTTCCAATGAAATGCACGAACGTCTCATAAATTGTAGCCAGTAAATACGCTTATTATAAACATCGTGTGATGATTATAATATAATAAGCGTATTATTAGTAAATAATACGCTTATTATATACTTGTTTTCTTGTCCATTTGAATTATTGAGGAAGAGAAGTGATTTAAATGCTAAGAAGAGAGCACCGGCGCAATATTCATTTCTCAGATAAATATAGTGGATTATTAAATATTTCTTCATATACATAACATTATTTACATATGAACAAAGCTTAGCCATTTATTCTTCCCATAAAAACTTAGAATTACATGCATTAACATTCCTCTTGCGAACATCTATAATGCGGGCAGACATCACAAGCATGACGTCAACATTGACTTGTAAAAAAATGTTAGTGAGCATCGCGAACAACATTGTCACCACCAAATGATTGTGATTGCCATCGCGAACGATAAACTGCATCAAATTCTGTTCGATTAAGTGATTATTATCATGATAATCACTTCACCATAAATGTTAATCAAATTTTGACTAACAGAATGACTGTAAACTGCTCCATTGAAAAATCAATAACCCTGCAGCATCACTTAATTAATTGAAACATAAATTACCGTCATCAAATGAAAAGATTTTATGAAAATTATTAGATGAATTAGTCGACTTTAAAAACTAATTCGATGGAGATCGACTTGCAGATTACACGCTTAGAAAAAATCGCAACGCTCAGATTCGATACAGATTGTCGGGTGACTTTTCAAAAAACAAAATAAGCAAACACATTTACTCCTCACAGTGCATCCTTATCGCAAAGGATACGAGAATCCTTGTCGGTCAATATTTAACTGTAGAATAGACGCTCAGAAATGAACATCTATTTTCATAATATGTTATCATTAAGTGATTTATATGATATTTTCGTAGGAGCGTAGGAGAGTTGAGTAGCATCGGAAAAAACTGGTCGAAATTTTATATGGGGTCAGCCGTGATCTAGTCTAGGGGTCTGATGTGGCCTTGTCTAGGGGTCTAATGTGGCCTTGTCTAGGGGTCTAATGTGGCCTTGTCTAGGGGTCTAATGTGGCCTTGTCTAGGGGTCTAATGTGGCCTTGTCTAGGGGTCTTATGTGGCCGGGTCTAGGGGTCTGGTGAGGCCTTCTCTAGGGGTCTAATGTGGCCTTCTCTAGGGGTCTAATGTGGCCTTGTCTAGAAGTCTGGTGTAGCCTTGTCTAGGGGTCTGATGTGGCCTTGTCAAGGGGTCTGATGTGGCCTTGCCTAGGGGTCTGGTGTAGCCTTGTCTAGGGGTCTGATGTGGTCTTTGGTAGCCTGAAGCTTCCCTGAGAGCAATGGGCTATGGATATGTAGTTCATTATTATAAAAATAAGAGCGAATGCTACCGGTATATGAAAATTGACTGGACTAAGTATACTTAATAACTGACTGCATTGATAACAACAATTAAAATAATAACTACAAATGAACGTCGGTTATATCTGTAGGCGTGACCTTGCCGTCAATTTTGTTATAAGTTTCTAAAGTTTGTTCCTTCCCTCCTAAAAAATGATGATCAGGAACTTCTTCGTTGTTGTTGTTCAGGTTATTAACTTGCTGAAGGTATCTTTGTATGGCCACCTCAAGAGATGTGCGAGTAGGAGAAATTTGTGTGGAAATATCACAGCGTAAGAGAGTCGCCATTCTTTCCAGACTTGCGGACTGGAAGGCTCTGGACGTCACTCCGTCCATGGCCGAGACTACGGCCGCCGCGGCGATCCAGCTCGGGGGCCGGGAGATGAATGCGTTGTCTGGGGGAGGGGGAAAATAAATCCGTTAAAAACAATTAAATTACTGGGGGGGGAGAAATAAATTCGTTAAAAACACAATTAAATTATTTGGGGGAAGGGAAATAATAACCGTTAAAATCGCACACAAGATATTTAAGTGTGGAATAAAGTAAGTTAAAGACGTAAGAAAAATACTATGTGTGTGGGGGGGAGTATAAGTACCTATATGAACTCCGTTAACTTCGCAGCTGAAATGAATGTGATGGAATATTATGGTTCAATGTGGCATTGCGGCCTCAATATACATCAAAGTAGCAGCTGCAACGTGATAAGAGCGACGCCCGCTGCCAAATGATAAACTATGCCTATAATCCACCGCACTAAATAGATAAATAAGTGGTATATATAACTATTCAAGCACTCAAGCTCTCAGCAAGATGCTGGTAAAGATATTTGCAACATAAGTGGTATATTATATAAATGCCTAAGAGGCAGGAGTTGCAACAAATGCTCGATGAAGTCGTAGGAGATCACGGGACTGACGTTCCAGGAGAGCTTTGCTAGGATCAGTTGTTCCCATTGCTGAGGAGTTAACCAAAACGAAACAAAAATAAATAAAATGAATACGAAAGGAAAAACGCTGAAAATTATCATAATAATACAAAAATACATGCAAAATCATATGACGAAAATTTTAATTGTCTAGAAAAAGTATGATTTTAAAATGCAAGGCTGCAGAACAGTAACTAAAATTTCGATGATAAGGACATAAGATGGAACCAAAAATATAAAACAAATATAGACTAAATAGTTTAAAGAAAGGGTAACGTAAGCGTAAAGTAAATAGACGAAACAGCAACAGATGTAGATGACAGAATCAGATGTAGATGACAGAATCAGATGTAGATGACAGAATCAGATGTAGATGACAGAATCAGATGTAGATGACAGAATCAGATGTAGATGACAGTATCAGATGTAGATGAGAGCAGTAGATGTAGACGAGAGCAAAAGATTTAGATGAGAGCGGTGATGTAGATGAGAGCAGTATATGTAGTAGATGAGAGCAGTAGAAGATGAGAGCAGTATATGTAGTAGATGAGAGCAGTAGAAGATGAGAGCAGTATAGACGTAGATGAGAGCAGTAACGCACTATTATCTCCTGAGACGTGACCGAGTCTTCAGTGTAGTAAGCCAGGATATCTACACTGAGGTAGCTGCTCTGGCGCAGCTTAGAGGAGAGCAGGAGGCAGGAGCAGGCAGCGAGCTGTAGTTGTGAGCGGTGAACCTGCACCAGGTTAAGGAAACGGTCCAGCAGGTTAACTGCAACCAGGAAAACCTGGTCCTCGCAGTTACGGTGCTCGCACAGCTGCAACAGATAAGAAAATTCATGTTAGAATATGTTCTTTTGAAGCTGTCATTGATAATTGATAGATATAAGTAAGTTCTTGATTAATTCTGAAGCGGTAAAAATATTCAGTTTAAAATACGGTTCGTTAAAAGCTCTTATATTAGATAGATGATACAAATAATTAACCGATTAATAAATTCTGACGAAAATTAAAGATCGTAAATGATTAAATGAATTGTGAAAGATAAATGTATGATATGTGATGAAATATCTGATGATGGTGATGATATAGTGATGGAATTTGGATAAGATGAACAAGAAAAAATATCTTAAGCAATTCAGGAGCCGAAAGATAACGTAAGGAATAGCGCAACTGATAAAAGATATCAGAGAACAATGCTATCATGAGAACAACAATAAGATGGCGCCGCCCTGGTTATCAGAGCCTCAACAGCTGATAGATAACAACTCCCTGATACACGGCATCTCGTAGCACATGAGAGCTTCTACATCGCCAGCAATGCAAGACAATCTACACTTGAGTCAACCAAGTATGGAATTCTGAATACATAGTTTAAGTTTTCACTGTTTTCTTGATTAATATAGATTTACTGGTGCTTCTGGTATTTATTGGATTAAATCATTATTAGGATAACGATATTTGATCGATCGGATAACGATATATGATCGATATGATAACGATATATGATCGAGAGGATAACGATATATACATGGATAACGATTTCTATATATGATACTCTCGAGTCAACAAAGTATAATTCCTAAAGCATTTAGATTCAAGAAAACCAGAATGCGAAGATATGAAAGCTTCGTATCATCATCCGTATATTTTCTTCACGTTTTCACAAGTGCGATTATTGGAAGCGAACGCTAACACCGCAATCATTGCCATTCATCATTAACGTTTTACAAATAATAGTGATGGTACATTGACTTCACTATTGATATATATATAAATCTTTCACTCGTCGGAGTAGCGCCAGCGAGTGGCCGTATGGAGTTACATGGAGCAGCGAGTGGCCGTATAGTTACATGGAGCAGCGAGTGGCCGTATGGAGTTACATGGAGCAGCGAGTGGCCGTACGGAGTTACATGGAGCAGCGAGTGGCCGTATGGAGTTACATGAAGCAGCGAGTGGCCGTATGGAGTTACATAGAGCAGCGAGTGGCCGTATGGAGTTACACGGAGCAGCGAGTGGCCGTATTGAGTTACATGGAGCAGCGAGTGGCCATATGGAGTTATATGGAGCAGCGAGTGGTCGTGTGGAGTTACATGGAGTAGCGAGGGGCTGTATGGAGTTACATGGAGCAGCGAGTGGCCGTGTGGAGTTACATGGAGTAGCGAGGGGCTGTATGGAGTTACATGGAGCAACGAGGGGTCGTATGGAGTTACATGGAGCAGCGAGTGGTCGTATGGAGTTACATGGAGCAGAGTAGTTCAGTCAAGAGCCTGATAAGCAGATAGTCTCGAGACGCACAAGGTTATTTGTCTATTCTAGGAATAAGCTACATATGTATAAATGATATACTATATATAAATTATAAGCTACATATTTAAATAGACATGATGGCGGGCGGAGTTGGAATTCGCTGTTTTTCACTTGAACATAATGGTCTGTATGTAATGGGTTGCATATAATGTAACGGGATGTTTACTACGACTTTTATGTAATGTGGTGTCAATAATGGGTTGTTTACGATGATTTATACATAATTGGCCGTTTACTATAGCCTGTGTAGAATGGGTTGTTTATGATGGTTTGTATTTAATAGGATACTATCCTAAGGATACTAAGGAAGGATACTAAGGATGGTTTGTATTTAATAGGCTGATTTTTACGGGTTTAATGTTTTGGGTGGCTTAAGCAATATATATACCGTACAAGACCTGCGTATCAACGAGCCATATTTACCGGTAACAATTCAACGTAAGCTCGATACTCTGGCTACCGATGCCTAACAACGACGCAAGTGCCACGAAGGATAAAACATTAGTATTTATGAAAGAAAACGACCAATTCCCTTGCAGGAAGTATTAACATTAAACCTCTGCTGAAAAGTTTACTACTTAATAACTTCAGATAAAAACATTGAAGCAAGCAAGGAAAATTATATGAACGTGTAACAGTGAATAACATGAGCTGAAAGATGCATGGGAGCGAAGAAGGCGAAAAATAGGAGCCTTAGCACCTATTACCCATGTAATGAGTGTACGATATGAAGGCTGCCAGATGCACGCAATGAAGGCTGCCAGATGCACGCAAGGAAAGCTGCCAGATGCATGCAATAAAGGCTGCCAGATGCACGCAATGAAGGCTGCCAGATGCACGCAAGGAAAGCTGCCAGATGCATGCAATGAAGACTGCCAGATGCACGNTGCAATGAATACAGCCAGATTCACGCAATGAATGCTTTCAGATGTGCACAATGAATGCTGCTAGATGCACGCAATGAAGTCTGCCAGATGCACGAAATGTAAGCTGCCAGATGCACGCCTTGAAGACTTCTAGATACAAGCAATGAAACCTTTTTCATCAAAAAAGAAGTTGATGGAATAAAGAAACTCGAACGCCCTCGTTATACACCTGATTATGTTCATGAATAAATGTTCTATATTTCTTGGGGCAATGAATGATATTTTTCAATAATTTTTTTTTTTGCAAATTGGCAGTCTTGGCGAATGATGAAGACTAGAGCGGCGTAATGAATCATGGCGTTAGAGATGATGGCCTCAAGCACCCGAAGACAGACCTTCACACTCGAGAGCCGCTCTAGCTAGTTTATGGATGAACTGCTTCGCTATATGGCAAAATATGGCTTATATGGGCAGGCAAGAAATAGAATTATTTCAATTGTAATAATAATCTATTGCCCGGAAAGCATTACTGGTACAGGCAAGCGACGAGAACTTGTTTTCTACGAGCGTGGAAAATGCAGAAAAATTGTTACTAATGTGACTGAGTAATGGGTGGAATATTTTATAGAATTTACGATAGGCTTAATGGGTACCTAAATTGGAGGATTCAATGGTGGGTAAGACAAAGTTGTAGGTAATAAATTGATGAATCTTGCTTCTTTGCCTAACAATCAGGCCAACTATTTTAAAAAGTTCAACGAACGTCTAAAAATTCTGATCACGAACTTGGTTTGTCTCATAAGCTGATCTTCGAATAGAAACTATTTAACATCTCGTCTTTATTGTTGGTAGTTTCTCACAAGTCACAAGCACAATTAGTCATGACAATCGTATGTATATACATGATCAACAGAAAAAAGTTTGTTCGTCAAATCTAAAAAGTTAGTTTCCCACGCAACTGCTACACGAAAACATCATTTGCTTATCAATAGAAATGTTGAGCTCACCTCAAGCATCCAATTTACAAGCACGGCTCTGATGTTTGGTGTGACGTTTGATTTGTTTGGTTGCAAGAACTGGTCGCTCGGTTGGGTTAGGCTTTGCGCAACCAGCAGGTTGTCGAGGACGCGTTCGTCTGAGAAGATGGTTGCATCATATGAACAGGTTGGCTGGTTGTCTGTATGGTTATTTGTTTGCTGGTCACTGCTTCCTGGTGGTATGGATGACTCGGTGCATAGTAGCTCATCCATGCTGGTACTACTACTCCACTTGGTGCTGTAACGTTGCTGTTACTAGGCTCCCTCAATTAAAAGTCTTTGAAAGTAATGCCTATTTTTATTACTTCATCTATACATATAATTCTAAGCAAAATGCCTGAGAATATTTGGCTTCAAGTTCTCAATGCCAGACTTGCGTAATGAAACAAATGAACAAAGTTTGATTTGACTGTTCAAATTTCGGATGGAAAAACTGAAAGTTTCTTCATTCACAGTGTACCCACGACCACGAGCAATGCTGGCTCAGCTGTAAGACGGTAATTTTGAACGTTCAACGACGATAACGGCAATGTACAAACCGACAGTTAGAGAGTCGTTGAGAGTTTCAAAAGAGAAAGTTCAGTTCAAATAATCACCTTAAATAGCATGAAATGCATTTATCACACTAGTGTTCAACTCTCGAGTAACTGATGAAGTTCACACAAGTACACATTCATAGATTGTTGCGTGAGGAATGCTGTTCAAGGCTCAAGTAGAATATCAAGCGGACTGTGCAGGTCGAGCGGTCGGAAGGACAGCCTTCCACGATGACGTCTGAACGTAGACTGACTGACTGCGGCTCTGGCTGCTGCGAGAGACCCGCCGGGACTGCTGCGGGGTGTTGTCCGCTACATTATCCTTATTACAAAAAAACACTCCGATTCGTTTAGGTGTGGACTTTTCCATATCTTAAACTTAATATATACATGAAAATTGTTTTGAATATAAATTAAATGGTTCACAGGGATGATTAGTCTTACTTTCATGAATAGTCGAAGTTTAGGTTATGTTCAGCTGTTGCAGGGGCGGTGCGGGGAGCGGGGAGAGGGCAGGGCGAACGATAACCGGAACGACACAAGTTAAGAATTAACGCGCCAGTAAATGAACAAAAAGATAAGTAAATAATAAAAGTACATTTATTTAGAATAGTAAGAAAGTTCATTGAAAAAATTTCTCGAGATAATTACTTTATGGAAAAATGTATTCTGTTTGTTTCCTCTTTACTAATGATATATGTGACAAGAAAATGATATCAGAGAAGCAATCTAGTTTATTTAACATAAAAATAAAATAAGCAACTCGTTATATTAAGTATTTAGAAATATTAAGTCCTTGAATATAACTTACGAAACATCCATGTCATATATCCTACGTCATACAAGTTAGAGTATCAGCAGTTACAGTTAATTATATCAACAGTTACCCACGGAATTGCGTACAAAACATAATTCTGAGGTGATATATTATTCTCCGAACCGAACAAGTCAGTTTATAATCTAAATTTGCAACGATTTACGAAATTTCATATAGTCGAATTAGGTGGTTCGAAGTGCGGCGTGTGGATCCCGTAGAGCTTTGAAATTTCCTGGCGCTTGCACACGGTTCCAGCACAGCCTAATTTTATTATGTAATAAGCCGAGTGCAAAGTGATAATTGCAAAGTGCAAATTCATTCAATATGTAATATTATAAACGATTTAACATTTTCCTACATTGTTTCATCTTTAATCGCACCATGCCGTGTACCTCATACAATTATGTCATTTGAAGAATTTGCTGTGATTATTGATTGATTAGTTCATAGATTGATTGAGAAGATTGTGTGCAATTTTGGTGAAGTCATTATAAAGGAAATGCGTAATAGGTAATCAGCTTAAATTGTAAAAACAAATTAATTTAACTAATCGGTATAATTTTTGAATGTGGTTAAAATAATCGATAGTGTAAAACTTCCATCTATGTGTTGTTATTAATCGATCGAAGATTTTACGAGTGATTAAACGCAAAATCTGCAAGTTAATAAACTTTTTTGTACATACGAAAGTGTGCAAAAAGCATATAGCGTTCAAATAAAAAGTTCATAGACTATATAAGCGTTCACACAAAACGTTCACAGCTAGAGCATTCCATCTAGTCGTACGAAGCTATTGATTCCACCTAAATTCATAACGTTACTAATCATAAAATGCATTAAATTATAAAATATGAACGAAATTAATAATTTTTAGCGAAAACTCGATAGTGAGATGAAAATGATCATCTAAATATTTATAAGATGAATGTATGTTGAGCATCGCATGCTTGCAGCCCCGAGCTTCGGTAGTGTTGCTTAAATTAAAGGAATTTTACATGTTCATCTCGGAATATAAAATTTTTCATTTCAAATATTGGCCGCAAAAAGCATGTTGCCAGCAATCAAGAGCAATGTTGGAAATTTTGGCCGGCATAGCAGCGGCCACCGAACTGACGACTGGCCCGACGAACAAAGTCTCGGGGGCTTACTCGACTTATTTCACTAACTCATTATACATACGTGTTATTTCACTAACTCATTACACATACGTGTTATTTCATTAACTCATTATTTATACATACGTGTTATTTCACCAACTCATTACACATACGTGTTATTTCACTAACTCATTAGACATACATATACATACGTGTTATTTCACTAACTCATTATACATGCGTGTTATTTCACTAACTCATTATACATACGTGTTATTTCACTAACTCATTAGACATGCGTGTTATTTCACTAACTCTTTATAGCATACGTGTTATTTCATCAACTTATTTAAAGATGAAATTGATTGACAACAAGTTACGCTTGATTTTTAAAGGGCTAAAATCAAATGCATTCAAAAAGATTTGTACTGGTAATTTGGCATGCTAAGGTTCGCATTTTATTTCTATTAGTCTTTAAATTGAAGCCTTCTTCTAAAACTTAAACATTTTCTCGCCACGAAAACCTAATATGTGATCTAATAATTACCATTTCAATTATGCATACGCCGGATCATTGCCATCAGTGGAACTGGTCGCAGCAAATCCAAGAAATTATTAATAAAAAATACAGAAGATTTCTAAATTAATACATCCAGAAACCCGCTTCTCGAGATAATTCTACAGGCCCTAAAAATGACCATGCTCAATTCACATCTCGACAAATTTAGCTCAGCAAGTGAAATTAAATGCCCGTGACGCTCAAGACCACAAATTTTTTATCCTAAACATTCCACACCGATAAGCTGACCACATTTCACACACCCACAACCTCATCACGATTTCCACACGGATAATCAGCCCTGGATTTCCAGCAGTAATCTTGTCGACGTCATCAGGGCACTGATGGCGCTGGAATTAATAGCCCATTTTTTAAAGTGGAAATCAGGCTCGGCGTCTCACAGCCTATGTAATTGGGAGGCAGGATAATGGGCAGAGCATCGCGTCTGTCCCTGCGGTTATATTGCTTCTTGTATAGGCCTGCGTTGAGATAAAATATGGAAAATTAATAATTGAACAAATAATAACAATAACATGCTCTCTGCCCTCTATAAATGTATGCGCTGGAAACTATTCGTTTGATCCTGTAATGTGAAATGATTGAATCTTTTTTTTCGTCTCTACAATTAATGCGATTTTTCTTGATCGTCTATGTCTGTAATAGTTGGTCAATTGGTGTCACCATGTTGAATGGTTTTGAATCAATGTGTTAGATGTCCAGGGATAGCAATGTCCAGATTTACAAGTAAGACTTGATTAACAAAGTGCTATAATGACAGTTATCTGTCAAGTATATGGTTATACATTGAATTATAGAATTGTATAAAATAACTCTATAATTATAAACGGTAATACACCATACAAGCACCACTCTACTATACTACACATGATTACACAACAAAATACAGTACAATACAAAACAAAATTTTGCGCTGCACAAAACTTGACTATACAAGACAGCACCACACAGCACACAGAGGAGCAACACAGCAGGTTGTCAGGTATTCAGGCTTGTGTAGTACGAGGCTTCATTGTGTGACGGCCAAAACATCTCAAGATCCTGGAGGCCTAGGCAAATAAATTGCCTGAACGGCCTATTTCTGCCTCAGGAATGCGAGACTCAGCGGCGCTCAGGGCCCATACTTTCAAAAAAAGTTAAGAGATCGTAAGTTCATCAGCCAATCATTGACGGTCTTTCCAGCAAAATCCACCAATCATAGACAAGGAAAGAAATTAGAGCGTAAGTACTTACGTTCACTTAGCGAGTTTTGAAAGTATGGCCCCAGGAAAGTAACATTCTGGTGTTACTTTCGTTACTTTTTTAGTAACGCGGATATGTCGATAGTGAGAATTTTATTTAGTATTGACAAATGATTTAATTATTTATTCGCAGTTCAATGTTATAATGTTTGAATACGCCGGATATTGTAAACTTTTCTGATACATATAAACGCGATGCACTTACATAGGGGTAACATAGGGCTTACATTGGGGTTAAATATGGGTTGCACAGGGGTTACATAGGGGTTACACAGAGGTTACATAGGGGCTACATAGGGGTTACATAGGGATTACATAGGGGTTACTTAGGGTTACATAGGGGTTTCATAGGGGTTACATAGGGGTTACATAGGGGTTACATAGTGGCTATGTGATTTACGGACATATTCGAAAGGATGAAAATCGTTTTTTGAAAATTTTATGCAGTTGCTTCACGATGAAAATCACGAAGAATAACTTTTTTAAGAACATTTATTTCCCAGCCTCATTCATTCTACCACTTCATTCCTTTCCCAGCCTTATTTATGCCACCACTTCATTCATTTCCCGGCCTAATTCATGCCACCACTTCATTCATTTCCCGGCCTCATTCATTCCACCATTTCATTCATTCCCCAGCCTCATTTATTCTATCGCTTCATGAATTGCTAAGCCCCATTCATTCTTAAGCTCCACTCATTCCACCGCCTCATTCATTACATTGATTAATTCATCTCAGTAATTAACCAAACCAAATATTCAGTCAACCCATCCTAAGTCACTCATCCTAATATACATTAAATTCCTGCAATCATTTATTCCGCGCTTTCATTTACTCAACGAAGTCAATCACTGCCCACCGCCATTCACATCCACCGCCATCATTCCCGCCGCCATTCACATCCACCGCCATCATTCCCGCCGCCATTCACATTCACCGCCATCATTACCGCCGCCATTCACCACTCCCTCCGCCATTCACATCCACCGCCATCATTCCCACCGCCATTCACATCCACCGCCATCATTCCCGCCACCATCCACTCCTCCCGCCGCCACCGCCATCAGGTGACAGCTCTGGCGCCGCCGTGGCACATCAATCCCACCACCAGCTCTGGCAGCACGCACTCTGGCAGTGACAGCTCTGCCTGCAGGATAAGCGGAGTTCATTCATTCATGCATTGCTTGCGGGACTCATTCATTGAATGGATTTGCCGGAGCTCAGTTGCGTAGGATGTCATTCATGAAAATGTTTAGAGACGGTAAACTATTGGTGGAATTGTTAGATAAATGTAAATTTTATAACGCTTACGTTAAATTCTGCGCTACAAGATCTTACTAGTATTATTTATAATAATTATAATAATAATAATAATAATATAATAATAATAATAATAATAATAATAATAATAATAATAATAATAATAATTAATAATTAGTAATAAAAATAATAATTATTATTTTATTTATTCTTTTCGCTATCATTATAATATTAATTAATATCTAGCTATAATTAACACACTAAGCTTTAAAACGCAGTAC